TCACGGGCCCGTCACTGAGCTCCAGACCACGCAGGGAAGCAACCCTCTCTAGTTATGCAGGTTTTACGGTTCTACAAATTCTACAGAAGATGCAAGGAAAATATATTCGGTAATGTTTTAACGCCACACAGAGGAAATTCATGCAAATAAGGTAACTGATATATTCAGCCCCTGGTGTTGGAGTCTGGGGTTGATAAAAATTATAATGCATAACGATGCGAAAGAAGTCCTGCGGCTCCTGTTCTGAAGAGTTCATTTTTCTTAATAGAAGTAAGACACCAGTTGCCTGGTGTTTATTAAAAAATGAGCTGCTGAGAGGCCTTTCAGACCTCTATTAATTCTACGCAAGAAAACAAAGTGTTCCTCATAAGCAGGGTTTCTCATCTCGCTAACTTTCCATCTTTATCTTAAAGCTTGGATGGTCGATTTAAGCTTCGGTGGAGAAACATATCCATTGAATATGTCACTGGCACCCCATTACCTGCACCTATGGTCTGAAGATCACCACCAAACCCAGTCACAGATCCTGGCATTCCTTGAAATAAAGAATGCAGGGCACCTGGACCAAACTGCCCAGCCACACCTTATAATATAGTTTCACTAAAATCATTCAGGAAACAGTTGGCCAAGTGGTGCCTGGCAAGCAGGATGAGTTTAATCTTTCATTTGTAACCCTTACGTGTGTCCCGGAGCTCTTAAACCTGCATCTGCATTGCTGAATTGGGTACCTACTCACAACGGGGGCTCAAACCAGATTCACAGCGGGTACTCTCCATCGTGTCGCTCGGGCCGCGAGACGAGAGGCTCACTTACCACAGAGCTACCTACTGGGCTTGGAGAGCCTGAGCCCTACCGCCCCGGCCTGACAAACCCCCTCCCCAACCCCAGCACAGGTCACTAAGCCCTCTCAGTTACAGTCTAATCCAGCGGGCTGTGAGCACTGTAGGCCTGGCTGGGAGTGCGTGCTTCAGCCAGACAGACAAGCCTACAGTAAAACAGAGGGATTACACTAATATAGTCTTTAGGCTCCCCTTAATACACTCTAATCTGATATAATATTTTTGATTCTGTTAGTGCAGTGTTGGATCCCACAAATGGCTTGGCTACAGTTCACTCACAGCTCCCCTGTTCAGCCGGGAGTTAAAGGCATATCAGACTAACACAGAAGGTGGCACCTCCTCTGTCGAAGGGTTGAAACACATCACTGAGCAGTTAACCCTGTGCGATACACTGTGGCTTGTAAGATTACTGGGCTTTGGAAGAGGTAACTGGCGCCATCCCCCTTCTCTCTGATCCCATTATAAACCCAGTTCAGAAACCTGCAGTGGGATCTTTAGGGGAGCCCATTATTTCTCTGCTTGCCTAACAGTTGAGTAGGTAGGTTCTTGTGTGAAAGATCTGATTCCAAGAAGACGCTCCATTTCCTGAAACACAGCTCTATCTGAATATCTGAATATCGTCCCGCTGAGCCTGAAACACAGCCTGGCTCCACTGAAATATTTGGCTCGGCAGTTTCAGAAAGCATGCTGGGAACAGCGAATATGTGCTAATTAATTTAATGGTAACATCTAATTATAGGTGATTTTGCGCTAAGTGTTTAATGAATTTAATTGGGTTTTTATTTAGAATTTAAGAGCATGTTATTTATGCCTGTCTGTGAAAGATGGCACATTTTAATGAAAGCATGCAGGATTCCAAGGCATTCATTCTGCATGTTATTTATGATATCTATTATGCAGATGACTACTGTGTTTCCAAAACTGTACAAAATGTGTCTGCACAGAATGCCAGAAAAACAGCTAAGGTATTACAGCAGGCAAGCTGTAAAAATCCACACACAGAACAGAACATTACCGCAGCTAGCAAAGAGAGAGCAAGCATCCGAGTATTTGGGCAAAGCAGACCAGGTTCATAACTGCCTTGAACAACGCCAGGCATCTAATGTTTTTATATTAACGGATGACAACAAGCAGGCATTAACAGTAAGCATTCTAGATGCTAATGCAGTGCAAAGGAGGTAAAGCTGAAAAATCAGTTAATCAAGGTACAG